AAATACATTCATGCATTAATTGTGGAGTTTTCTCTCATTTTTAGGAAGGTGTTCTAATCAATCCAGAGTGAGTGTTTTGATTTTCTGTTGGCTCTTTGTTTTAAATAATGCTGAGAAATTTTTTCAGTGAGAATTTTAAACCTGTTTACTCTGCTTATATGGAAGATTTTTCAATTTTCAAAAATCTAGAATCTTTTTTGTTTGTTTTTCATGACATTAACTTTTTTAAAGAGTCTGCCTGAGCCAGTTGTCCTGTAGAATAGCCACTGTTTTGATTTTGTCTATTTTATCATGATTAGATCCAAGCCAGACTTTTTTTGGCCATAATACAGTAAGTGATGTGTGCTTTTTTGCATCATATCAGGTGGTGTATAATGTCAGGTTGCCCCACTATTGGTGTTGCTGTATTTAGTCCTGGATCTTTTTCTGAGCATTTTAATACATTCTGTTGATCTACATGTCTACTCATGTGTCATCCCCACATTGTTTTAATTACAGAGACTTTTTACAATATATATTGATACTTAGTATTTATTTTCAGTCATCACTCTTTTTTTCCCCAGGATTTTTCTAGCTATTCTTGCATAGTCTTCTATATGAATTTTAGAATCAACTTGTCTAGTGCTGGGGCAAAAACTATTTTATTGAAATCACATTAAATTCATATATGATCTCAGAGAAAATTGGCCTTTATGTGATGTTACATTGTCTTAGAACAAGGGATGTCTTTCCATTTGTTCAAGACTACTTTTATGTCTTTCAGAAGTATTTTTACATTTTCCTCATACTGTTTTACGTATTTTTGTGTTTATTCAAGTATTTTCTCTTTTATGATAACCTTATAAATGAGGTATGCTTTCTAATTATATCTTCTAACTGGTTGTTTGAAAATGTAAAGGGTATTGATTTTTATATATTAAATTTTATATTATGCTGACTTTCTGATTTTTTAGTTCTCTTATTGGTTGTGTTAGTTTTAGCATTGATTCTTTTGGACTTTCTGGGTATAAATTATATTATCTGAGTAACAGATTTACTTCTTTTCCAATTCTTGAGAAGGGCTTGCAGTTTTCGTACAGACATCTTTATATTGAATTTGGCAGGAAAGATCTTTGCCTTCTAAAATACTGTATTTTACTGGAATATAATAAATTGTATTTCATTTCTCTTAGCCATGGATAATCAAAGCATAATTCTCCCTGTGCCCCATATAGAGATTAATGGCAATTTCCAAAACTCAACTAGGATGCATGGTTATAGTGTTGCCTAAAACAAATAACTCTTTAGAAAGTTTCATAGAAGGGAGGAGAGAGGCTCTCCTGTCCTTAGCACAGTGCCCTGTGCTTGGTGGGTTGCCCATAATCATTTGACGATGATACATAAGGTTGCTGGATATATGTTCTGGCTTCAGAATTTGGCACTTTGTTTGGCCTGCTTTGTTTTTGCAATAAATCTGATCATCTTTTTTCTTTCTTTCCTTTGATCATGGTCCTGACTTGAAGGTTGGTAGAGTTTAAGGAAACTAAAAAATATATAATTCTGTTGTTCCAATCAGTCAGGTACAAGTGGGGTATAATGTCATGTTCTGATTTTCCACAAAGTAAAATACCCAAAGCATCTCCCAAGAAGCATAAAATTTCTTCATTATCTTCTCCAGAGTGTATTAATGTCTGGAAAATTAGGAAAATTTTAAAATAATACATTTCAATTTTTTAGTAGGTTTAGAAACATTACCAAAGGAAGTAGTTAATTAATGTTTTTAAAAAGAGTCCTAGAACATTAATTCAAACATTCTGATGACTAATACACACAGTTAACACTGCATTGTAGAATATGAAGCCGGTGGCTATGGCATAGATTAATTCATTCAGTTAATATTTGAGTTAACTCTTGAGGGCCTTCTGTGTTTCGAGCATTTGGACCAGGCACTGTGGATACAAAAGTGAATTAAATCAGATCCTGACCACAGGGGCTAGACAAACACACAAATGGGTCTGGAGGTTTGTGACTTAGATGCATGGGTTTCAGTAATGGTACTGCTGCTCCTTGGTTGTGTGACCCATCTTCTGACTTACTTTCTGAAAGCTGCTATTTCCTCCCTTTAAAATGGTGTTATCTTTGTTGTTTATTAATTAGCTATCTTAAAATTCTTAATAGTTGTCAAGTTTTGTTTGTTTTATTTTAATTTAAGAGATTCTCTAATTTTTCCACTGTTATCAGTGGCACTACCAGTCGTATAAGGTTATTTGCTGATCTTCAAGTTACTGAAACTCCTTACCAGAGTTTATTTTCTTTGCATGCTCATGGTTGTGGTCCCAACTATTCTGCTGGAGGTCTGGACTATAGCAAAAAAATGAAAGCAAACCTGTGCAACTGTTACCCCTGTGCTGAGGCACAAGATTAAGCTTCTCCTCTCAAGTCTCATCCGTTGCAGGTTACAGCCATCTCCCAGCAACTGGTCCTGGAAGCAAACTCCTCCAGGTGGATGGGCGTATAGGCCTCTGTTTAAGGACCATTGTGGTCAATAGGATCTGCCAGGCCCTTGGTGTACTACAAACATTGAACTGACAGATAATAGCCAGTTACCCAGAGGATTTATAGCTTCTGCTGGCTGAGAGCCCTCAGTGAACTCTGGAAAACCCATTTTCTGCCCACACCTTGAGAAGAGGCCTGTTTTCCATGCACAGCTCCTTGCTCAGCACCAAGGAAGACACAGCCCTCCCATTCCCACACCTTGCCTGACACACTGGCTCTGAGATCCCAGGAAGAAAAAAAACTTCATCTTCTGAGATACTGTCCAGCGTTTGCCATCCCTCTTGCCTTAGTCTTTGTAGGCCTCTGGAAAGGAACTAAACATGATTTCAGATTTTAAAATCATTAGACAAAGTGAAAAAGAAGATGCTCACCTAGAAGATTAAGTGGCATAATTATCAAAAGATAAAAAATTATGAAGGTAAAAATAAAATGGGCTGCAGAATTAAACAAATAACAGAACAAAACTTCCCCGAGCAGGAGAGTGATAAGATTCTGCAGATTGAAGGGCTATCAAGTCCCAAGAAAGATTAATAATAACAAAGACACACTTGGACATACCCTGGTGAAAGCAGTCTGTTGGCACAATTCCCTCTTTCAGGGGAAGTCAGTCTTTTTTCAGGCCTTCATCTGGTTGGATGAAGCCCACTCACATTATGGAAGGCAATCTGCTTTACTCAGGGTCTGCTAACTTAAATGTCGGTCCCATCCAAGAAATACTTTTCACAGAAACATCTGGAATGTTTGATCAGATAAAAGTGAAATAAAATATAGATTTTGGGGGGTAAAATTTACTTAAAATAGCAAAATATTTGGGGATGCTTTTCCTTAAGCTTATTCCTTTCTGTATATTCTCTGTTGAAAGCTTAAACAAACACGTATGATTGTATTTCTAAATGATATTATTTCAGTAGCAATCTAAATTTAAAACTAAGCTTATATCGGGTTGGCCAAAAAAAGTTCGTTCAGGTTTTTCCATAAGATGTTATGGAAAAACCCGAACAAATTTTCTTTGGCCAACCCAATATCTTTAGAAAATTCATTTTAAAATTCTAGTTTTCAACACATTCTTATCCTGAAGTTGAAACTGTAAAACATGTAATTTTTTTCTTTGTACTTTCATAAGCTAAGGATGTAGATTTGGGGGTTTTTTAGTTTTTTTTTATTTTCATCATTTTGAAATTACTTTCTAATTGGATAAGAATTTTAAAATCTGTAGTCAGCCTAGGCCTATTTTATGGCAGTCAGATTATAGTAGTGAAAACACGTATGTAAGATGTTGCTAATTCCTGAACCCCGTGGTATGACCACTCTCATTTTAAAGCCAGTGTGTCGTGCCAGACTGTTCTTAGCGGTTGCAGCTAGAGAGGGTTGTGAGAGCATGAGGGCTGAGGAGGTGAGGATTTCACCATTAGTTCTGTATACTTCAGTGTAAAGTCTTACAATAAGAATCAGCATTATTTGAATATTTTCAAAAATGTTTTTCTTGGGTTTTAAAAAAAACTTTTCAAGGCCAGTGTTATCTAAGAATAAAAAATGAGTTAAATGGCTATAAATGAGAGGAGCTAGTGTTTTGTTTCAACTAGGAATTGTGCTATTTGCTCTTAACAGTGCATTGCAATTCCCACTTCTAACCACCCCTGCGTGGTTAAGCTTTTAGCCTTATTTAACAAACTGTTAAACTACTCACGTGTTAACTAGTCACATGTTGGTCTGCTGATTGACAGAGATTGAAAAGTAAATGAGAGCCATACCTGTGTTCATTTTAAACTTGAGCTTGATTTTGAACCAGTATCTTTCAGATGAGATGCAATGTGTTACATCCTTAGAAGCTGTTTATTACAAAGAAATGCAGTAGAGGACATGGGGGACAAAAAGATAAATCTATACATGATAAAATGATTTTTCTCAAGGTTAGCAGTCTATATTGTCATTTTAAAGGAGAGAATCAAGGGAACTTTTTTTTCTTCAGTACTCTATGGTGATTGAATAGATAGCCGATTGTATCATAGTAGGAAATCAGATGATCAAAGAGAAATTCAAATAGATTTACTTTTTGTTTTTGAGAAAATAAGGAAGCGATTCTTTTCATAGACTTTGTGATATTTCTTTATGAAAACTTGATGACATCAAGACAGAGGCAAAACTTTCATTGAAGAAATGTAGCAGAGGGAGATAATGGTATAATTTTTGAGCTGAGAACAGAATAAGAGCACATCTTCTGCTATTGCTGGATGCCACTTGAATGAGGAAATTGGCTTAGCTCACCTTGAGTCAGGTCTCTTAGTTAGCTAAACTCTCCAACTGTTTCTGACCAAAGAATTCATGATACCACTTTAAAGGATTCTGCCATCCAAGGAGGCTTTTTTCTTGTAAGCTGTAGGAGTCATGTCTTGCTGACATAAATGTTTTCAAAATAAAATGTATAGGTATAATAAGCAAATATTCACAATCTTTTCATTTCGCAGGGATTATCAGTATAGAAAGAAAGCCTTGTAACCACCATGTAGATACAGCACCAACGGTAAGGCAATCTATTTCTACATTGTTAAAACTGTTAAGAAGGCACAAAATAATACTGGTTATAGTGACACAAAATGCCATTGTAGAAAACTCTTGTAACCTACCTTTTGCCAAGAGTTATATCCCTTTAAGAAAATTAACCTTATGTTTTCTAATTAATCAAGATAACCTATCAATTTTTACTAGGATATAGGAAAATAAGATGCTGTATCATTTTTACAAGTACTTGTTTTATATTAATGTTATGAATAGAATGGTATTTAATTTTAAAATACTTTATACTTTTGATAAAGTACTGTAAATCTTTATGCAAATTGATTTACACCCTTGTAAAAATGAGTGTTATTTTCTGCACTAGCATCATTATTTAGAGTGAATGTTTTGTAATAGTGAAAGTAAGCCATTATGCTTCATTTCTCTAGTAGACTACTATGCCTTATTATTATAAAAGTGAAATCTAGTCTTTTACCCCACTACTGTTACTACCAGACAACAAAAGGCATTTAAGAATTATAGTATCTATTTACTATATTAAAAATAGTTATAGAAAATAATATAAAAGGAAGACAAATAAATTTCCCTTTTCATCTCTGTATATAGTATTTGTATGTATGAAATACACTTCAGTTGCTGGTTCCCACTTGAAAGATTCACAAGAAATAGACTAGATTATATCTCTTCACTAAGCATATTCTTGTTTCTTATCCTTTCTATATAATAAATCTTTCAAGTACTCCGTACAATTCAGCATTTCCTATTGTGAGAAAGATTTAGTAATACCTTTTTTAAGAAAATAAAAAAGTATTAAACTATATTTGAATTTTATTGATAATTAATATTTTCCTCACGGACAAATTGACTCCATTTTTTCTATTTGTTATAAATCTGTATAATTGATTCAGCATGTTTGGTAACTTAATACGTGGGGCTTCAGAAACGACTGGTGTGTGAGGAATTAATCATTAGCATAATCATAAAAAGGTACATGGATATAGTGTGTGTGTTCCAGTTATCCTTTAGTAAGTATGCTAAAAGAATAGCCGTAACATTATGTAAATTTTATTCATTAATATTAAAAATGGAAGGCTAGCAATTATGGAAAATTAATTATTTTAAGGTATTTGAATAATCTACTCATTTGACTATTTTATATACTTTTGAAATTTATTTTATTCCTGTAGGCTTTCCTGCAGCACCTTGTTTGCATTCTGGGTGTTTTGTACACTTTGGAGCTCAGAAAAGTGTAACCTGCCAGGTTTTTTTGTTTCACCCTGTAGGCTGATGGCAGATTCCCATGTGAATTAAATCATAAAATAATGGAACCAAATATTCATGAAATCATGAGAAATAATGGCATGAACAAACTTTACAGTAGTGCCCTGATCTCGAAATTACTCCTGTGAATTAGGAACAAAATCTAATGCATAATAGTTTAGGTATTGTTGGTTTTTGGTTATGTTCTCCCAGTTGGATTATTAAATGGTGGCTCCTAATATATTAATAACATTTCTACTCTGTATAGTTGATAAGTTTTAAAATACTTGGTTTATACAGACGCTCCCGTAACACTCATTAGATCCCCAGGTTTGACTTGAGCCAGTCTTCCTTTCTGATGTCTTTTTCTGAGCTCTTCTCCTTCTGTCTCTTTACTACAGCTTAAGCATATTCAACAACCTTTCTCCTCTCCCCTATAGTTCCCCAACTTGCTGACAGTTAACCTTGGCCCTTTCTCCATAACCTCTAAATAGAATCACAAGTCTGTTCATTACCCAATCTCTGCTGGGCCCCAGAACAGATAAAGTCTGATTTTCACAGAAATATAATTTTACCTAATTTTCATCCTTTGTGTCAGTGTGCCCTTATTTTCCCTAAAGGGTTTAAGAGAAGAAAATATTTAGAGATAAAAGAAATAGGAAAAAGTCTAAAAGTTTTACAAAGTGGGATATTTGTGAGTTCAAACTTTGTACTATACTGGCTAAAAAGGAGAGAGACTCTTTGGGCCTGAGAAAAAAAGTAGAAGGGGAGTGGGCCAGGATTTCAGAATGGCTGAGGCTGTGAATGACTCTTGTCCTCATACCTAGCCACGAGTTTCCAGCCTACCTCTCTACAATTCCTTTGGCTCTAAGTCCTACCATGAATGGCTGGGGTCTAGGAGAGTGCTAGATGCTACTTACGACTAATTCAGCAGGGGAGGGAAGCAAGACTTTCTTAGGCCTCTGTGACAGGGAAAGATACGTTTCTTGACGTTTCAGGTTGGAATGAACTTTTCTGTAAATATATGGTTACGATAGTTTGATCTTATAGCGTTACAGTGGGATGCAGTAGTGTTCTTTAAGTGAATATAGGTTAGCCTGAGAACAAAACCCCTTTTGTCCCTTGGTTCTGTGTTCTTTCTCACTCTCTTTTTAATTTACTTGTTTCCCTTTTCTTTCATTTATTACATGAATTTTAATTTTTTGTTTGGAATTTTTTTTCTTTTTGACATAAATAATACCATATCTGTGTTTGAGGTTCCTTCAATAGAAAGCAAAACAATATCCCCACATGGCATGACCCCCTCCACCAAAAAGAATCAAACCTTCCTGCTTAACTAGCTATAATCACTACTTACTTTTCTTTGCATTCAGAGCTCTGAATTTTGTTCATATCTAAGAGTATATTTTCAAGTTATTTTTTCAAGAAATATAAATTGAGAATTATATTACCTGAATCTGCATATTTTAAAATATCTCTCATTTGTCTTTGCATAAGACAGCTTGCCAGGGCTTTTGATTATTTGAATATAACCTTTGCCCTTCAAAACGTTGTGGAAATTGATCATCATTTTGCCTTCTGTCATTGAGTATTTCAGGAGAGACATTCAAATCAGTCTGATAGTTATTCCTTTGTATAGGTAGCATGTTTTGCCTGTTCATGTATTACAGATTTTCTTTTATTTTCTTTATACGTAATGTCTTAGCTCAGATTTGATGCATAAATGTGTGGCTTTCTTTTCACTGATTTTTGGACTAAATGGTATTCACTCAGACGTGTTACTATTATAGGAAAAACAAATAAGACATCATACAATCATAATATTAGATTACATGAAGATAATTAGATCATGCCACTTTAAGAGCTGGTTGTTGCACCTGCTTATAGCCTCCAGCAAGTTAAGGATAATATCAGACTCAGATTAATCAGAGGTCATTGTCTGAACCCTGAAAGGCAGGTGTAAAAGTAAGTTAATAGTTAAATCAGCATAGGCTTGAGTCCCATAGTTACTTTAAATGGAGGACTTATTTGCAAATCAAAGAGAAATAGCAGCTAGCATAAGGAAGTCTTCCACCCACATGTCTGGTCCTTTCTTACTTTAGGTTATTACACGAAGGACTTAGTTAAAACATACCTGCCTTTTAGTGTACAGTCATATGCACAGCAGTTCCCATAGCTTTTCCTACTTTCTGGTGGAATTAAAACATGGTAAGCCATGTTGAATATATAAAATATTTTTAGTGATTGGAGGAGAACTGTTTTTGAATTTCTTCCAGTGAAAACTGGTACGATAAAATTCAAATAACATCAACATGGCCTATGTAGTCAATCATTTTTGTAAAGCTTCTGCATTCCAAACCTGTAACCCTAACTTACACTATTTCTTTCTTCTTATTTTATTCAGTGATCCCACAACCCCCACTAATGAGAACGAATTTTCTTTTAACAAAGGGATTTTTTGTCAGTTTATAAAATTACAGCTTATGTTTTCGTAGAGGTCTACACATCTACCACAGCAGGTTGAAACAAACTCCTGCCTGTCTCATCAGAATTATACCAGTTATGGAACACTTTTGCCATCTGTTAAAGTGTTGCATGAATTATTAAGAATTAAAATACCCTAGCTTGATTGGAAATTTAAATGTTGGTTCATTATTCTTCATTGTTATAAGACCAGTTTAACAAGCTGTTCATTCATTCTGCGGTTACACTCCTTCTAGGTTTTCTAAGGGCTTGATTGATAAATTTTTGTCACGTGATTTTTCGTCAATGGTAAACTTTGGTGTTTTAGAGTATTTTATTATTATGAAAATATATCTGAGATGTTTGTGGTATTGCTTGCCCTTAACAGTAAACTTATTCATAAATGTACATACAAATTAAACTTTATTCTGAGCCTCTTTTGGATTATATGATTATGGATTATATGATATTCATTCTACAGCATTTTGAGTTGTTTCTGTTGTTAGATTATTATCATTGTTTAGCCCACTCTAGGTTCACAAGATTGCTACATATTGCATTATTGCACATTAGTTTAATAAATGTATACATATGTTTACATAAAATATGTCTTTCACATTTTAACATACTGTTGGGGACAGCCAATCTAGAATTTTCCGGGAATTCATAGTATGTAAACTAGGGTGAACATGCCCATATAAAACTCATAAAATAGAACCTATGGCCAATCTCTTCCTGAAGGCAATTGTAGGGTGGAGAGGGAACTGATAAACTATAAGCTTTTATAACTTGTCATAAAAGAATCTGTTTTTACTTATCAATAAAGTAGCAATTCAGAGCAATTCTATGGAAATTCAAATGTAAATGCAATAAATTCATTCTTTTTTAAGACCACTTGTGAGTTATCCATAATATAATATTTTTCTTAAGTATTTGCACATTAATTTTTCTCCATATATTGTAAATTGTGAAGCTTATGTTGATTTTTCCCATTAGCATACTCTGCTAACATTTGTTTTTCTCAGACTTTTTTCCACCAGTTCTCTTTTGACTTTGCTAAATTTCTCTACCTGAGAAAGTTTTAAAATTCTGAAAGTGTCATATTACTGGAGGACTATAACATAAGAGTGGCAAAATAGGAATTTATTTTCTAAATTATCAGCAAACATTAGGTGTACGGTGCCCATAGGACAGTACAGTATCAAGTGCTGGGTAGGTGTGGGAGTGGTATGGGGGAAAGCAGAAATACAAAAAAGTATAAAACGTGCTTTGTGTCTTTGAGCA